GCATGGAGCTCCGGTCCATCACAAACCCATCGCTTTTCTCTTATAGATGAAACCCTCCCCTGCAGAGATGAGCTCCTTGAAAATATGTTTAAAGACGACCCCGACAACATATCTGACAGCTGGATAACCGACGAGGATGATGAAAGTGCGTCTGATACTTCTATTCCCGCTGATATTGACGATGTTCAAACTAGTGGGTATGACCAAGACTTTTGGGCTCCGTTCATTGACGACCACCTTGGTGGTTCTGATGCTGATGAGCTTATGGAGGGTATCTTAGTACTGAAGACTGCACCCCCATATCATCCACTGCACCACTGGTGACGCTTTTCACCACATAGTGATTGTGTCGGGCGAACTACCACCGTACTGAAAACCTGAAGTACGTTCATCATCAACCTGTGTACTCTGCACGTTTTACATGTACATATGCGGAGCTGTCTGCCTGAATGTCGTTCTTCCGCGTCCACAAATTATGCGCGCACGTCGTACACTGAGCCCGACCAGCCTCATCCTCCCACCCCACTTGCGCGTGAGACCAGACCCCTCTCAGAGATCAGTGACGAGGAATTCGATATTCTCCCCCTGTTTGACGACACCTTGTATAAAGCTGAAGATGTCCTAGATTTGGATATAGACGATGATGAACCTTGCGGTTGAAAATTGTATGCATCAAAGGAAGACTGTCAAATTGGCCTCGCTATCTACGTAATCAAAGAACATTTTTATTTCAGGCAAACCAGAACCAGCATGCATTTCTTTGTCCTCAGTTTCCATGACCCTCCTTGTGAATGGAGAATCCTCGCTAAAGAGTTCACCATGTGTGGTTACTACACTATTAAGAAGTGTCAGTTGGACCACACTTGTGATACTGAGACTCAAAGGCATTACAAGAAGCTTTCTACCGCAAAGGTCTTAGCACATATCTATCGCTCCAAATACGGCAATCCCACTGACGCACCCAAAGCAATGCAGCTCCAGCAACTGGTTCTCAAAGATTTGCGTGTGGATGCTTCCTACATGAAATGCGATCAGACAAAAGGAATTGCCCCAGACATTTCACATGGTAATACGGAGGACTCCTACCTCAGCATAGCTGGTTATTTTGAAAGGTTTAAAGTAACTAATCATGGAACAATCACTGCTATTGAAACTGAGCTTGACAATGCTGGGGACACCCGGTTTTTGTATGCTTTCCTATCTTTTGGTGCTTCAACCACCCAAGGATTCAGTCGCTTACGCCATGTTTTGATTATTGTTGGCACTCACCTTTCTGGCACATACAAAGGTGTACTCCTTACTGCCAGTGGACAAGATGACAACTTCCAAGTGTTCCCTCTCGCCTTTGTTATTGTTGATGGTGAAACCGAAGAGGCCTGGACATGGTTTCTAACCAAGCTTGAAAGGATTATTGCGGATTCCAACACTCTCACCATCATTTCTGATCGCCATGTCTGCATCATTAAAGCAAAAAATCAGGTTTTCCCCAAGGTACATCATGGGGCTTGTATTGTTCACCTTATGAGGAACGTTGTATCCCGGTACAAAAGCAAGTGTCTCGCAAAGATGGTTTGTGAGGCTGCATTCTCATTTCACCGCTTTGATTTTGATAAAAACTTTGTAAAAATCAAGCTAGCTAATGGACCCTACTTCAGATATCTTGAAAACATAGGCACTGTTAATGATCTCGCGCTTACTTTCCTGGGAATCGTTACAATCTTTTCACCAACAACGTTTCAGAGCAGTTGAACAATGTTATTACCAAATCTTGAGCTTCTCCAATTGTTGAGATGTTCATGTTCATTCAACGCATGCTAACTCGGTGGTTCTCAGCCAGGAGGACCAAATCAGCTAACTGGTGGTTCTCTTTAACAATCAATTCACCAACGTGAGTACCTATCTTCTCTTTACAGCTTGCTATAGAATTTTCAGAGTCGTCACCAAGACTGCTACCCTGTAGATAAACCATAGTAGCAAAATACTATCATGTTAACATCGTACAAACAATTTTAATCATCAACCATCAAGTATCCTCACCTTCTCTTTTCGGCTTGCTTCAGATTTTTTTAACTCGTCCCCAACACTGCTACCCAGTACCAAATCATGTTAACATCCTAGAAACAATTTTAATCATCAAGACTCAAGTATCCTCCTCTTACATCATCGTCAGTCACGTAGAATGTATTGCTCGTTGTTTCCCTGTATAGTACATCTCCACGTATACCTATTACCCCTTCCTCTACCCACTGCATTGGTACACCATCTTCTTTCTTCAAGGCTACAAGCATTAATGGTGGTTCCTCTGACGAACTATCACCAACCTCTACATCCATTCCCTTACTCTCGTTCTCTTCAGCGGTCTTACCATCAACCTCTTCTTTTTGTTACATCACCACTCTCTTCCTTTGAGTTACTAGCCGGTGTTTCCTTTCCATCTTCTTTCAATGATTCATCCTTATTCTTACTAGGCAAACTCTTTTTTTTCCTCCTCTCCATCTTCTATAGGATCTCTGTAATCCTCCCCTCCATCGTCTTCATGATCTCTGTCATCCTCCCAGCCATCTGTTGAACTACTATCAGTCAGTCGATCACCAGTTTCTTGGTTGTTATCATCAAACAAAACATCCTCCTCCAACGCTCATGCACTCTTCTTCTTATTCTTTTTCTTTAGCGTTTTACACTGCAGAACACACCCTTCTTAGGTGTTACACCAGTCCTCTTACTATGTGTTAGCTTCTTCTTCATCCAGGCAACAATCTTTTCCAGTTCATCAACCTGTGCAGCTAGCTCCTTATTCTTATCATCAACCACCAGCATTGGCCTCCTGTAGTAACTGCTCACCCTCTTTTGCTTCATCACAGGGCCACCCACCTCTATTTTTTTCACACAAGCACCCTCCCTCTTCCTTTTTTTCGCTGCCTTACGCGTCTCATGATTGTAAAAAACTTCTATGGCGTCACATGTCCTCCAATCAGACTTTGTGTACTTATGTCCGCCTTCAATAAGACCCACCATATAACTCACTCTCCTATCATCTATCTCATCATCCCATTCCCCCCAGCCATCTGGCTTGTCTGGCCCAACTTTCATCTTTGGCTGCACAATTAACTACACACACCATCATATATAAAAAAATTATCTCAAGTACAATTAACTCTGAGTACAACAACTTTTCTGTACACGTGTACAAGTACAGTATCATCATACACCCGTTCGCCTGAAGAATAGTTTTCAGTTGTACACGTGTACCTATTTTAAAATACCAGACGAATATTACCTGAGTATGGTGGTCCGCCTCCAAAACGTCCACAAGATTCAATCCAGTGTGCTGTGGAAGTCTTTGACAGTCGATAAGCTTCAGATCGTCGTTCCCCCCAGCCTAGCCAGCAACTGAGGTATCGCTTCATAAGCCACCAGTTGAAGCGCCAAAGGCAGCCCCGCCATTTTTTGGTCTTTTGTCTCAGCTTGGTGCAGAACTCTCCCTTAGGGTCATCACATTTTCCTAGTATCCTCTTCCTTGTATCATTGTGCTCACCGTCCAGTAAAAAGATTCCCAAACCCACTGAATTCGTAGAAATTTCTTCAGACACTCAAGTAGCTTCATATACTTAACTGTTGGACGAACTGGTTGTGTAGATGTTATAAGCACCCCATCAACAATTATTATCATACACAACTTGAATCTTCTGCTACGCGATAATGTCTTGTCCTCTAACACCATTTTTACAACATCAAGAATTGTTATGTAATGCCTGCCATCAAACAACTTGTCCCAGTATGCGTAGTCATCCTCCTTGTATGACGACTGGAAATCTGCAACATATCCATTCTCAAACTCTCTACATGGCAGTCCAGTCACACTACCAAATTTGACCATCGAGAACCTTAAAGGGTTGCCCCCAAACACTGACCACACTTCATACCTCTTCTTTGTCACATCCTGCCTCGCTAGCATAGCGTGAATCATAACAGAGGAGTAGCTGCACCTACAAACATGTAACTCAAACAGCTTTCCAAAACATGAACCAAGAAGCCTCTCCATCTCAGGCGTTCGCGCATGACATCCCTCACAACCAAAAGGTATTCCAGCGTCGAGTAGACATTCAACCGCTTACTAGGGTACTGGTCCATCGTAAATAACCTCTGCGAAAATCTCTCATCGGGACCGCCTCTTAGGTTGTCCTCCTCTGCGAATCAAGTTTAATTTCATCACCAAAAGAGTAAACAGTCTTCGGAAAATACAAACAAAAATTCCCAAAGAAAAACCCTAATTCTAATTAATTCTAATTGAAAATCGAGAAAGGAATCGCAAAACTCCCACGTTTTGGAATAAATATGGGACTCACCAACAACTTGCTCTTTTCCTTCTCGTCTTTGCCTCGTCGTCATCTCGGTATCAGCCACGCAGTTAAAACTCCTTTCCCAAACTTTCTCTCTTCGTCGTGGTCGAGACTAGTTTATTGAGAAGTTGAAAATGAAAATAGTTCACTCCCATCCCCCAAGGATGAATATAAAGACATACCTAAAAGGGCTTTCAAATTTTTGAATTTCAAAATTCAAAACAAAACCTAAAGACACAACCTAACTAAAACCCATCTAGTTTGGCTTCTTGGGGGCAATATGGTATTTAGCCACAGAAAAAGTGTCTTAGTAGCCCAAAATGATTTATGTTGTTAGGCAAAGTCATAAAGTGACCCAAATCGTTAATCTCTCTTAATTTTTACTATTTTTTCTTGTTTTAATATTTCATATAAACATTACATATATGATTTAAGGATTTTAGTTTTAACCTCTTTAGATGAATTTAAGGATTTTGAATAAATATAGGATTTTTTTTTTTGCTAGAAAAATCATTCTATTGACTTCAAATTTAAAACCATCACTTGTTTTACAATATTAGATCATTTTTTTATGAGTACTCAGGTCTTTAAAAAATGTAAAAGCTTTAGTTCAAGAATATATCATTAAAGTAATTATGTAATCAGCAGTTGAATGTAATTATTGGCTATAACATTTGTTAATAATGGGAATCGTAAGCATATATAGTATTCTCATTTGAATTGCTGATTTAGATAATCGTAAGCATATATCCACAACTTCTAAATATTGAAGTGTGGTTTATTTACAGTGTGAATATTCCTCCTAAACAACTTGATTATTGTGTAGGCTCAACGAATTTGAGAAGTAAGAGTGAAGAAGAAAGCTTCGTCGCATGGCAAGCTTAAACCACCGGTTGGATGATCAAAACCAAATTCTTCTTCTGCTTTCCTCAGCAAAGCTTGGAAAGATGGTTTGCTCAAGTAATAAACCGGAACAAAAAATCTCTTTTTCTTCAGATTTTCTCCAACGTAGACAGCTAAGAATCCTTTCGGTGTTGACGATTCAGTAGTAAGAGACTGGCGAATTATTTGCTTGGTAGCAAAAAGACTCCTCAAGAATGTCATTTCTAGTATTAGAAACAAAGAAAAAAACTCTGAGTTAATGGCTTACGTAAAGTTAACTTGTGTTTGATGAGAGAAGGTTTGAGTTTGGTTTCTGAGCAAGAGGGAAATGTGGGTCTATATATATAATATATTGGCTAAGTTAGAAAGGTTTTAGTACTAACAACTTGTAAGTCACGAGTACGTAGTGTGTGTGACCTACAAGGAGATGGTTTTGGCAAACATTTTAGTTAATTATTTCGATTCTAAGAAGCCAATGTTGGGGTGTTGAAAGGTAGTGTGTGTCCTACAAGGCTACGTGCATGTTGTCAATGGCTAAATTGGCTAAATTGCCTACGTCGACTTAACGGATGAATGGTGCACATTAATTAAACAAAAAAAACTAATTAATTCGTTGTAATGCAGCTATGCATCTTAACTACTTAATTTTATCTTCACATTGGCTATGTCGACTTGGGTAGATCGATTGAATTGAATGATGATACGAGCAACACACTAGAGCAAACCTGTACATTATATGTGCTGATATTGTACATGATGACTTTTCTACATTATTTTGAACGTGTAACAAGTGATTAATACGTGAATGGTGAAACTTATATTGACCTAAACGTGCAAGCTTAACCAGTATTCACAAGCATTTTACTGTTCCGTATAGCACGTATACCACTGAAACGCTTCAAGTCCGTATCATGTCATGTCAGTTTCTTTTACCCGTTTGTTGCACATCCCACAATATCCAACTTAAAACACTTGTAATACACGTTAATTAATATCTTATTCAAAATATCTTAGAATCCAAAGAAAAACAAATATCGAAATATCTACCCAAGAGACAGATATAAATAATGATTTTTCCTTTTCCCGAAACTGGTCGGGCCAAAGGACGTACGGGGGTACTAGTTGTTATGGGCACCCGTCTCATCTGGAGACCCTTTTGATATTTTTTTGTGAAGAGGTCAAAAGAAGATATAAAGCTGTACTTAGGCGAGAATCATGAAACAATGATAACTCCGAAAGGATGAAAGAAGAAGACCACATGGCAAAAGGTAGAGAAGAGTCGTGGAAGTTTGTTTTAGTTAGGGAAAGTGAAGTCAATTTTGTTTTCACATAATTATTTAATTGAATCGACCCAACTCTCTCATGTCCCATCTTCACTTGTCTGCTTCTCTTCAGTCACATCTCCACTACTGTAGATGACGATCACCACCAAAACAGAAAAGCTGCCCTTTTATTAGGTCTTTTGTCCGATCTATTCTTCGGAAAATGGAATTAAGAACTTCTTCATAAGGCAATACCATGTGCCATTTTATCTCCAAGTTGTAGACTACAACTAGCTAAACTAACCTCTCCTCTTTTCTTTCAGTGTATACATCTTTTGAAGCTATATATGGCTATTTGGGTTTATCTTTTTACTTGTTAACTTTTCTCTTTAATTCTCTTTTCGAGCTTTCCAAACAGTCACATCATCGATGAAAAGTAGAGAGAAAGATGTACATGGTTGTGGATATTGTTCTTGTTTCAAGACCTGCCCCAGCTTCAATAGTTCGGCTGCCGTATATCATTGCCACCCAAAATGAAAGAGTACTTTGGTCCCGCGTAAGTAATTATGGGTATAGGCCAGAAACGTTTTGGTTACAAATAATGCCTTCTCACTTGCAAAAGCAGACGTGTTCTTGATTACTTTTATGCCAAATTGTCAACAATAAACGAGAAAGAACAAAAAAAAAGAAGAAGCAAAACTGTAATCCTTAATCTTGTGTTGAATAACTTCATATAGTCATATGAGAAACAAAATTAAATAAAAAGAACATTAAGCAATCAATCAAATAGTGTCTCTAACAAATCATTCTCTAAACCTTCTCCTCCTCAAAATCAGAGTATACCTTTAAAACCCATTTGCTCTTTTTTTTTTCTTTAATAAAAAAGCCACCACGCCTTAAAAAGCGCTCTTTGAGGCCGTTTGTTACTTATGTTGCATCGTTCTAAGCCATCAGATGATCTACCAACTTAGCCGTAGGATTGTTAAATCAAAAGGGCTAAAGATTGGAATCGGAACTGCGAGTGGAACCTGAGTTGATGAACACAGGAGTCTCTCTAGGGGACTGGGACGTGGCACCACGTACGCTGCCACTGTTTCCCATGTCTTTTGTCTTGTGGAGAAGAAAGGTTCCTGATAAAATGGTCACAAAGCCACATAGCTCGGTAGCAATTTGCAATCCGCTCTGAGAAGCCCAGTCCTGAAACCATAAACAAATCATGATGTCCTTATATACAAATAATAGTCTTTTAGTTTGTGATCAGTTCAGCATCTTTACCTTGAACATGATCATACTAGCTAAGATGGTGAATGTTGTAAACATAACGTAGTACACTGGAGATATGACTGCGGTGTTGAAATTATCTAGAGCCTGTAAAGATGAAAACAAACTAAGGGTTTGTTTCTTTATCTCGGAACAATGTTGGATCTTGTTGTTGTTACCTTGTTCAAGTAGTTGATTTGCAAAAGGCAACATATGGTCACTACTATGATGAAGATCCATGCATGGAAGTACTTGAACTGGTTCATCCCGGAAAAAGTCAGCTTTATGGCGATGGCCACAGCTTTAACACACATAACCTAACACAGGAGAGACAGAGACACTTACATAAAAAGAGAGGAGAAGAGATGGCTCACGAGGTAAATAGAAACTTACAGTCAGAGAACCCATCAATGAGCAAATCCCAACATATACTATCATATGCGTCTTCCCATAACGCGGCTCGTAGTAGAAGATCAGAGCAAGTACCACAACCAACACGACAGCAGAGTACGCAAGGAAGCCTTGTCAAGACATTCAAGCAATAGAACATGTTTGATGTTTCAGTCTAGTTAGAATCTATGTTTTTTGACAATTAAAAAAGAAAACCCTTCATAACTCTAGTATACCTGGTTCGGTAGCAAGGTACCATACTTGCTTGACTGATTCAATGTCCTGCTCGTGAGGAGCATGTAAGACAATCGTTGTGGACCCAACAACACAGAGGACGCAGCCAAGTACACCAAACATATGCAACTTCTCTTGCAAAATAAAATGTGCAAGCACTGCACTGTATGACAGTTTCTGTTTTCAGTAAGCTATGTTGTTTTAAGAAAACATACAGCAGGAAAGAGAGAATAAGCACAGTAAACACAGATACCTGAAAATAATACTTAGCGCCCCCAAAGGTGTCACCAGAATAGCAGGTGCAAATGCATAAGCTGCAAAGTTTGCTATCTCCCCAACAATCACTGTAAAAAGTAGGAACACAATTCCATTGGCTATCAAAATCAAGCTCTATCCTTGTCATTTAAATTCTAACTAATCCTGGATTTGAATATTTTTCTATGTGCTTGCTTGTTATTATCTCCTTGTTCCCGGAGAAACAGCTTATAGTCAACCAGATTATTACAAAATGTGTAATTTCAGAACAATCTAATGATCTTACTCTTCCAAGCTATCACGATTTTTGTCATACAGAGTATTGATGTTTCAACATAAAACCAAGATATTCCGATGATATAAACAGAAACCGGAAATGTTATCTAATCATCAGACAAGAAAAAATACACTCTCTTGGTAACAAGAAATGCAATTCACGTCCTAAGCACAGAAAAAAAAACTCAACTTTGACCAGCATCAATTGTGCTTCTGACTGAAAGACTGCCAAATTGATAATCATTAAGACATCTCTATCTATGTAGCAAACAGGCCAAACCCTTTCAGGGTAATTTGCGAAAAAAAAAGCAAGGATCATATAAGTATACATACCCTCCTGATCAAAGCAAGTTAATCAAAACTCATAAACATGTTGAAAACATTGTCTAGAAAGATATCTGATCAGAACTTACTAGTTATCATCCCAGCCCACCACCAAGGTTCCAATAAGTATCCATACCCTCCTTCACCTATGATCAAGAAGAAGAAGAAAGATCAGTTAAACAATAAGAGTAATTTTGAAGAGCAAAGAGTAAACGTCAGAACCTGCTCTGGGTCCGCTGACACCAGCCTTCTTGAGACCTTTTTTCTTGATGATGAAGCTTGAACCGATGAATATACTGGAAGATACAGCTAAAATGAGTCCATGTATGTTATCAGGTGACATCTCCTCCATCTTGAAAGATATTTGATAGTTTGCTCTGTTACAAATCCAGATGAGTTCAGCTTTCTTAGTAATGAAGATTCCACTCTCAGATAGCTTATTGCATCTACACAAAAACAAAGAAGAATCAGAAGAGAGTAGACCCGCTCAAGCAAAACTATGTTTATAATCAAGAATCAACACAAGACTCATATCATATATTCAGAAACGATTACTGAAATTATTTAGCAATTTCCTTGACCAATCATGGAACAATAGATTCTGATAAAGAAAAATCTTAAAATTTTCAGGAAAAAAATTGAGAACCAGACAAATGGCAACAAACAGAATAATACAAAAAAAAACGCAGAAAAGGAAGCAAGGAAGGAGACAAATCTAAACAAAAAATCAAAAAAATGCCTTAAGAGACAGAAAATCAAAGGATCTGTTCACGGATTGTTCATGAGTTTTTACACGAATGGTTATATATACGTTACATTTGCGGCTCACCACATTAAACTACTATTAACTCGCCCTCCGATTAATATAATATTCGCAGTAACGGAGGCAAGATGACTTAATCAAAAACTTTTACACAATCCTCGATTGTTACCACGCGATTTTAACCATTAAGGAGGGTGAGACAAGGACGCTAATGGGAGAAAAATAAATATCTGGGAGCTACAAGTAGCAATAGAATATTCGATTTCGCATCTCACCTTTTTCATTTCCTTGCACCAATCACAAAATCTCAAGTCTCACAGGTAATTGCGATTTTCTTTTCGAAATGAATTGTGAAATTTAGGGTTCTTTTCTTTTGTGGAACTGAATCTGAAGAGACAGATAGAGATACTAAAATGTAACTAAATTATGGTAGCATTTGAAACAAACCAAACAACACTCATTATATTACAACTATATAAACACAATTGAGTCACTGGCTGATCCGATTTTTTTTAGGGGTGTCATAGCTTTAATTATTACTAGATTTTGACCCGCGCTTCAAAAGCGCGGGTTTTTGTTAGATTATAAACAAATTTTGATATGATCTAGTATTTTAGAAATGATGTACATTATTAGGCTACAAATCTTAATATATAAAATAGATTTTTTTGAAAAATTCTGTAATTTATAAATTAGTTTATTTGAGATTTTATATGTAAGTTTTTAATGTATCTCTC